ACGACCGCGGCCCGGCGGCCACCACGTCTCCACGCTCACGGCTGCAGCGGCCGTGCGCCCGCGTCCCCCCCCCGTCTCCCCCCGCACTCCCCTCCAGGTGCCGCCGTGGCCGCACGGGCGGTCCCTCAGCAGAGCGGCCACGGTGCGACTTCAGGGCCCAGGCGCAAGTCACACCTGAGCTCGCTGACAGCCTGCGTGCCTGGCCTGTCTCCCCCGCCGGGGCCATCGCCACGGTGCCCGCTCAGACCCCGCACGGGGCCCGCCCCGTGCACGTGTGTGGCAAGCGGCGGCTGCTCCTCCTCTGCCCGCCTGGCGCTATCATGTCCATCCCGGGGGACTCAGGCGTCCTTCACACGCTCCGTCAAGCAACACGTCCCATTTCTGAGCCTCCCTGAAAAGAAGTCTGCTGGAAACTTCTGGAAAACGCTGCCTTCCCAAGGGGTGCCCACCCTCTTCTGTTTCCTGTCCAGAGCACAGATCGGACGGCTCGGGCTGCGACGCCCCAGCACCCGGGGAGGTTGCGCCCCCACCCAGGCAGGCCCTGCCTCCCGGGTCCCAGTGGGCCTCCCCCCCAGGACCGCCGCCCCCACCGCCCCCTCCTTTCCGACCGACACCACCAGCCCCGTTCGGCTCTTCTAAGGAGCCCACCAGCGCTGGCTTCTGGGCTCCGGCCAAGCCGCCTCCGCGGGTCCGGACCAGCTGGGAGCGCAGCTTCAGTGGCTGAGGGCCGAAAAGAGCCCCATTTCACCCAAATTCTAAGACAAGTAGAGTCGTACTGGGCCTCCTCGGAGGCTGTCTTCTCCCAGCGCAGCCCGGGGGACTGGGACGGAAGCGCAGGGCTCCTCGAGGGTCGAGGGTCGAGGGTCGAGGGTCTCGTCTGGCCGGCAGGGAAAGTCGGCGCTCGCGGTTGCATTGCCAGTTACACGTCGCTAATCGATCGCTGTGTCTTTCTGAGAGAAAGACATTCTTCCTCTCAGATGACTGGTGTGACTTTTCTACTTTTCCCAGCAGAAATTGTCAACGCGGGAATTTTACTACAGCTTTTAGCAGTGGGCCGGGACTCAGACCACCCTCTCATTTTGCATTAAAAAAATTAAAACACGGCTTCAGTGAAGACTCCACTCATTCCACTGTCTGGACGCGATTACGCAACATTGAAACGGAATGAATCGCGATGACAATACAACGTTGCAAACACATTTTTAAACCACACACAACCTGGGGGCTTGGCGCTAAGACAGCGTGGCCATCCTCCCTGGGCGGACAGCGCCTCCCACAGGCCTGCGCCTGGGGAGACGCCGTCAGGGCAGGCGTGTCCGTTCTCCGGCCGTCGCTTGGTTTATGTCCTGCCCTTGTCACGTCCTCCCCAACGAAGGCGTTTCATTGACGCTTTCTTCTTTGTTTTCTTTACATGGAAATGACTTGGGAGATTAAACATAATCAACGCGTGGTCTTGAAGTCCTTCGTTTGCCTACTTGGGCCCTTAATAATGACAGAGGGGACTCAGTTGGCTTCCGCCTCATCCGCCCGTGCCACGTGGGCCGCGTACGTGGCGCCCGGGCCGCGGCCGCCCAGCCCCAGCTGTCAGCGTGTGGGGAAGCCGCTGCCGGACCTGCCAGCGCTGCGCTTCCGCCCTGATGGAGGCTCTCCACGAAACAGCCACCACCAAAGCCTCTCCTCTGGAAAAAAATGAAAAAAAAAAAAAAAGAAAGAAAAGCCTCTCCTCTGTGTTCTGTTTTGCTGGATTATTTATCAAGACTGAAAGGAAATGAGCAGTTTTACCACAACATAAGTGGAAATAATTTAAAAGTGGGAAGTGCTGACTTGAGTGCAAAAACTTCCAGAATCCTTTTTTAAAAATAGCACTTGTAGCTCATCATGCAAGGCTCTGCCAACCGCCGCAGCCGTTTCTTTGAGGCTTTGTTACAGTGTAACCAGCATTTTGTTTCACTTCAATGATCTTCCGTGTGGAGACCCTCACACTGGGGCAGCCGACAGGCTGGGAGCTCGGGCCACACAACCCACCGCTGCATCAACGCCAGACTCCCGTAGCGCGTGCGCGAGCGCGAGGGAGACGCAGCCTCGCGTATTTAGGGGTCAAGTGTCAGAATGTCTGCAACTTCCTCTCAAATGGTTCAGAAAATACATGAGCGTAGACAGAGGAACAGATAAGATGAAGAAAATGTGGGGAAATGAAAACAATTGGTGAAATCTAGGTAGAGGGTCTCCAGATACCTGCTGTACCCATCTTTTGAATGTTCTGTTGAAGATTCTGAAGGCAAACACCGGAGGGCCGAGAAAAAGAGGCAACTGTCGGCCATGTGACCCCCGAGGGGCCAGCAAGGGCAAGGGCGTGGCCTCGGCAGGAGCCTGGGGCGATGACCCTCCTGTGAGGGCCTCCTGGCGCCCTGAGGGGCAGGAACCCGGGAGGGGGCAGGACGGACCAGCCGCTCCCACAGGTTCCGCGGGGCACGCAGCCGACAGAGGGGCGCGGACTCGGGGGCCCCAGGCAGAGCTGGTGGGAGGACCCAGCGCGAGGGAGCGACTCCTGAGGACGGAAGGGCTCCTGGGTGGGAGCAGGGACTCTGACCTGAGAGGAACCTGGACGTGGGTCCACAGGGACAGAGCGGCCTCAGAGGACGGTGACGAGGCCGACAGTGACGGCAGGGGCTGCGTGGCCCCAGCCTCTCCTCTGAGCGCGGCTGCACCTCCCGAGGCGCCTTCCCTGGTCCCCGTCTCCCAGAAGCTCTGGGGGGCAGGGCGCATCACTGCCGTCTCCTCAGGCAGAGGCCGCTGCTCAGGGTGGCCTATGACATGCCCTCGGCGGGGCTGCTGGAGGCCTGGGGAGGGAAGGACAGGCCTGCGGCCGTGGGGACGGGCGGCCCCTTGGGATTAACAGTTGTGAGTCAGAAGCAACTCAGCTGTCCTGGCGACGCCGTTTCCAGCAACTTCCGGCTGCAGAAAGAGGGCAACTGGGTTCAGCAAGGGTGGGATTTCTACAGGCAAGTGGGACCCAGGAGAGAAAGAGCCAGCGGGGGTGAGGGGCTGAGAAGGGTCGCGGAATCTACCCAGGTAAGGAGGTGCCTCTGGCCACGCTGGGTGTGAAGGACACAGAAAACGTGGCAGGGTCGGAGGACAAAGGTCATGAGGTAAGGAGTGGATGTTGGGGGCACAGGGCTGTCAGAGCTGTGTGGGGTCAGCTGGAGAACAACCCCTGGGGAGGAACAGGGGCCAGTCGCGCACCTGAAGGACGCAGGGGACGCGGCAGGGGACGGCAGAGACAGCGTGGAGGCGGCTGCAGTGCGGCAGGGATGGTGCCCCCCGCCCCTGCCGTGGGCTCAGGGAGCCCAGGCGGGCGCAGCAGCCTCCTCGGGTGAGCGCAGGCGAGGGCGCGGGATGGGCCGAGGAGGGCCCGTGGCCTCCTGCCCCAGGGCCGCTATCAGAGCCACAAGCTGGGCCAGCCCCTCCCACCGGCGGGGCTGAAGGCCAGGCCCTTTGGAGCGAGGCCCACTGTTCAGGCTGAGGGTGAGGGTGTTCCCCGAGCCTGTGGTTTGGAGCGCAAGACACCGCACCCTGGGCCCGGGGCGCGCCTTTACTGAAGGAGGACGATGTGTTCCCCTGCCTCACTGGTTTTCTTACGTTGTTCTAGATGCCTTTCTAAGACTGAGGCTACGGTGAAATTCTTTCATGCTTTCATGAACAGTTACGCTCTGTCTCTAAGGTTGGCTCCTGCACATCTCTAACGAGCTGTCTGCAGTCCCCTGCGGTCTCAGGTGCACAGCGACTGTCTAACGCGTGCTCCCCGCGACCCCTGTTGTTGGACTCCGTCTCGTGTCCCAGCGTTGGTTCTGTGGTTGCAGATGATGGGCCAACGGTGACCGTCAACAGTGTGCGGGCGGGGTCCGCGGCGGGTGAGCTCGAGGGCTTCCATATTCCTCGCCTGCAGCCCCCAGGAGCCCCTGACACTGGGTGGAGGGCCCGCGGGGGCTCCCGCCGCCCTGACACGGGCCTGAGGCGGCGGCCAGCCCCCGGGTCGCCAGAGCCCAGCCTGGGGAGTGCGAGCCGCGCTCAGCCGGTGGGCCTCACTTGTTCCCAGCCTGCCTGGCACCGGGAGGAAGCCGCTCCCCTCTCCATGGGAACACAGCTTGAAGCAATCTCTCCCTCGCTGCATTTCTTTAGTGCTTCTCCTGTTCCCACGGGACTTTCTCTTTGGAGCAGAGATTTCTGTTTGTCTTATTTTTTCCTTCTTGAGTATGTTAAGCAAGTATGCTCTGCCTTAACATCTTTGGATAGTCTTTTATTTCTTTTTAAATCTTCACCCGGGGACATGTTTATTGATTTTAGAGAGAGAGGCAGGGAGAGAGACAGAGCGAAACATCGATCGGTTGCCTCCCGTACACGCGCCAACCAGGGATCAAACCTGCAACCTTTAGGTGCACAGGACGACACTCCAACCAACCGAGCCTCCAGCCAGGGCCATCTCTGGATGGTCTTAAAGGGTTGCCGTCTGACATGCATTCTATTCAATAGCCAGCGCTAACAAACAAAAAGCAACGTAGCACTATCACATCCATCAGTACAATGGGTCAAACACAAATAGGCTTCCGAGGTCCGGCCTGGAAACGCGATCACCGCTCGCCTGAGGCAGGGAGGGGCTCTGAGGGCACAAGCCCTGGCCCTCGCTCAGCGTCGGGGCCCCGGGGCCCGGATGTCAAGTCTGTACAGAGTCGGGGTGCTAACTTTCCCAGTGTGACAAAAAAAGAGAATCCATTTTTCTTTGAAAAGTATACTAAATTCAAAAAGTAACTTTAAATCTTTCAATATTTAAAAATAGTGTAAAATTTAAAATAGTATTTTGTGAAAATAGTGGAAAGTGTTTCAAAATTAATGCATGGATATACACGTGACCAACCAAATGATGCAACTTTCTCTTAGTTGATCCGGAGAACCTTGGTTTAAACTAAACGATCTCACATTCGCAAACCAAAACCACCACTCACCGCTGACGTTTATGGCTGGCAACACGATCGACATCTTCGGTCTCGTGGTCTTGTTGTGGGTGGTCGCCGGCAGCAGCAGGTGATCCTAAGGGCGAGAGGGAGCCATCGGTTACACGCAGCCCCTGGCTCGGCGCTGTGGCAGCCACGTCAGGGCGTCTGGGACGCCACGCTCGGCGGGGTCATGAAGAGGGAGCCTCTTCTGACCTCGGCCCAGCGACGGCAAACATCCAGCCACCACGCAACTGGGTCACTCCTCTCGCAGTCAGGAGGCACAGAGGGCCCGTCGTTCCGGGACCCTGCAGGGCGCCAGAGCGTGCCCGGCTCACCGCGGGAACCCGGGACAGTGCTGGTCCCGTGGCCAGAACAGAGACTGCAGCTGCAGTGCTGCCACAAAGGGGCCTCTGATCTGGGCCCGTGTCCAGTCCCCAGACATGAGGGGCCGGGCGAGATGGCGTCAGAGCACTGAGGTTGCCTACCCACCAGCCACTGCCACACTGGTTTAAGAAGAGAGACATCCCCTGCCCCCCAAGAAACCTGTGATTCCCAGACGACCACCCCACGCAGCAAGACAGAGGCAGGGCCAGGGCCTGGCTGAGCTGCTCCGCCTCCTGCATCCCGAGACGCCGCCGCAGGGGACACGTTTCTGTGAACAGCAGGTCCGCGTGGACTGAAGCAGGCACACAGGGCTCGCTCTTAACCACCAGAAGCGCGCGCCGAGCACGACCACGGGCAACGCTGCCGCTGGTGCTCCCTGGGTGAGCCAGGGCCTCCGCGGCTGCGGGTCCCACCCGCCAACACAGAGGTCAGAACGCGCCCAGAGGAGCGCGGCTTCACAAGCGGAACGTGCATGTTCCGGGAAGGGCTGTGCCTCCGCAGGTGTTCCACGGCCGACCGTGACTTACGACTTGGGTAGTAACTACTGTTTTCAGTAACCTTTCTCCTATCAAAAATAGGTACTGTCACAACAAAAAGACAGAAAGGCGCGTGATGTTGCCATTTGGGGCGCAGGCTAACCCAGACGTGGTGGAGACGTGCACTAACTCTCCGCCCCTTGTCCCGTTGTTGTCTGTCTCCTCATTCGCTCTACACGCTCGCTACACAGAAGGACTCATCAAAAAGGAGGACCTGGTGTAGCGAGAGTGACAGAAAGTCAACGCAGCTCAGCTCAAAGTCCATGTGATTATGAAATGTAATTGTCAGCAAAGCTAAGAAAAAATCTAGAATGTGAACCGCACACTGGAATGAACGTGCATGAGCAGCCATGGGGAGCAGACATTTCCCGCAGCTGCGCCTCATCCGGGGCGACAGTTCCCAGAGAACACGGTTTTTAAAATGGGAGGGGGTGGGGGCCGGGTGTTGGTGAGCGAGGCTGCCTGAGGGCTCCAGCCTCGCAGGAAGGCAGTTGTTTAAATGCGTTGTTAGACGCCGAGATCACAAATTTCGGAGAGTTAAGATAACATATGATGGTCAAGAAAAAAACATTTGCTGATCCTGATGCCATGAAACTTACAAATCCTATAATTAAAACATAATTGAATGAGAACACAAACCAACAAACTTGCAAGCCCCAAATTAAGGCTGCTGTAAAAATAAACACATTTAGATGCCGCTGGTCATGGGTTAAGGTCAGGCTCCAGCTGAAATCTGAATTTCCGGCTCAGATCTGGATGCCATACTAAACCGTGTTTTTAAACATGATTTTCTCAACATAGCATCTCCTACTTTCCCTCTTCATTAATTTTCAAACAAAGAGGTTACTTTTGCAGCAGAAAACCAAACGAAACAAAACACATACCCACACGCTGCTATTTATGCAAAAGACGACTCACAGGCTGAACGTGAGCGGGGCTCCTCCTCAGGAGGCAGGGTCTGTGGGGGCCAAGGCCCCCGGGCTTCGTGCGGTCGGGCTCATTGTATGACCAAAATTAAGTTACATTTAACATAAATTTAGAGATTAGTTTTAGATTTCTCTAAGTTACCTTTAATTTAAAATATTACAGTCCAATCTGGTTCAGAAACATTTCAGCTTCTCTTCAATTCCACAGCATAAAATAGCTGCGTGCGGCATGTGGATCTGCGGCATCTGCTGGCCTGCGTGTTTCCGGGGAACCCTCTTAGCCTCATGTTGCAGGCCAATGGCGGCGGGGGACGAGAGGCTTGGAGGGAAGCAGGAGGGGCTCCGCTTCGGACCCCGTCCTCACCCGCGCAGCGGGGGCCCCCCCGACACCCTCAGGGTCTGGATTTCTTCGTCTGCAAAATTAAGAGGGCAAGAGCGCATCTCTCCATCTCAAAAATCCGACGTGGAAGCTACGTATTTACTCAAGAATTTTAAAATGCATTGCTCTTTGAAAGCAGCATCATCCGAAACAAACAACGCTGTTGTAAGACTTTGTGAAACTGAGAACGAACAGCGCCGACGCGCACAGCCCGACTGCGGAAGGGCCCTGGCTGTGGCCGCGGGGTCCCGTCTGGCACCCACCTCGCCCGCTCAGCAGGGAGCGGCGCCATGGCCGTCCCCCCAGGAGAGCGCGCTGCGCCCGCCACAGCGCGGCATTCCAAGCGCAAGCCAGCAGGGGCACGAGGCCTCCCTGGTCAAACTCTGCCAGGGACCTCGGGGACCCTGGAGGCGTATCACAACGAAAAGCAGAGGAGGGCGCAGACATGTGCGGGCGCTGCGCAGAGCACCTGCCGTCGGGGGGCAGGGGCAGGGTGCAGCTCCTGAGCCTGCACCAAGGCCCCGCTTCCCGGGGCAGCCTCCAGGCCCCGTGTGGGAGGCGCTGGGGTCGGCAGCACGGCAGCCAACGCGCAGAGCCGGGGTGGTCCGGCACCTGTTTCTGTAAATGACTGAGTCCTTTGTGTTTTCAAAAGATCAGTAATTTTTTAAAAAATGCCTCGATGTCAGTGTACAATAGCATCTTTGAGAAATGTCTGGATGCTGACAGAGGAAGCGGGTTTCCTCCTACTCACCACAAATCATGTGAGCAGCAATTGTTTTCCTTAGAGAGGCAATTAAAGGCTCTTCCGGGGGAGGGGAAGCACTAAGCAATAAAACAGTCACAGGGCCACGGATGACCCAGCCGGGAGCCCCAGTCCACAGCAGAGCGAAGCCCTAAACACCCAGAGGGAGGCCGAAACCCCTGGGGCCTCGGTCCAGGCCCCTCTTTCACATTTTTCTCAAAACCCCTGCTGCTGAGCACAGCCTCCCAGCTGTGCTGTGCGGGAGCCGCAGGGACCCTGGGGAGCAGGGGCAGCGGGGCTTCTCTGTCACTGCCCGAGTCTGAAGGCGCGGGATAAAATGCTGACAGTGGGGAGACTGGATTTCAATACAAGTGTTTCACCCTCTACAGAGAGACGCGTGACCTACATTGCAATGATGTAGAAACATGTATGTATCCTCTGAAATGAACAAAGCCCACATGTATATTCCATTAATTTCACTGAACTAGTGGGTTATGGGTGATTTTTCCCTGTGTATTTTTCAAATTTCTGAGCATCGAGATAGTCCTTCTGAAATTAAAAAACTTAAAGTTTCTTATCACAATTTTCTATTAATGGCTGAGATCGCTGGGTAAGGGCCCTGTATGAACATGGAGACCTCATAAAGCCTATTTTAAAAAATGTTGCCTCGAGAAACCAAAACTTTATAAACAATTCAGTAATTTTTAAAAACTCAAAGCTCCATAGCTTAAGAATTTTAAAATTAAGCCTCTTTTACTTTACAAAAGTATTTTACTCAGTTCTGAAGCCAGATCTACCAATTTCAAAGTTCCAATCAAATTTGACTTAGTAGCTTTCATGAATTACAAAATGAATTTAAACTAAATTTATTTAATTTCAAAATGAGTTTTTAAAACCATTTCTTAAGAGCAAAAACTCAGCCCTGGCTGGTGTGGCTGAGAGGACTGAGCGCCAACCTGCGCCCCGAAGGGTCTCTGCTTTGATTCCCAGTCAGGGCACCTGCCTCGGCTGCAGGCCAGGTCCCCAATAGCGGGTGCGTGAGAGGCAACCACATGTTGGTGTTTCTTTCCCTCTCTTTATCCCTCCACTCCCCTCTCTCTAAAAATAAATAAAATCTTTTTTAAAAAAGCGAAAATCAAAACACTCTCAATTCAGCTGTCTTTTCAAAAGGAACAAAAAGAGGGATTTAAGTGCTAATAATAAGGGAATGATTTATATTGGATACTATGTTTGGATACCAGTTCATGAGATATGTTTACTATTATAAAAGCTTTTGCAACCATGTGCAAGAAAGGGGAAAACCACAAAGGGCTGGATTTTTTGCAAAACCGGACTTTCTCGAAGTATCCCAGCCCCAGTTCAGCTCCATACAGTATTAGAACAGAGAGAAAACGCAAACACCAAGAACGTCTAACTACAAAGGACGCGCCTGCTCCCTCAGTCAGCAGCCTGCCCGGGAGTTGGAATCTCTTTCAATGGGGACTAGGGTTTGCCAGCTGCGGAGGAAAAGGGACAAGCAAAAGGGGAGGGTCCGCTGCAGGCACGTCACCCCTCGGAGAGTCAACTCTGGCCGAAAACCAAGGGGGGCCTGCCTGGCACCCGACCAGCCCGCCCTGCGCAGCGGGGGCCTCGTCTGGGGGAGACACAAGAGGGAAAGAGAGGGAATTTGCGGGGCGGGGGCGGGGGGCGGGGGGCGGTGCGATGCAAACAGACACCTTCCTATTAGGTGATACCATTTGTTGTTGTTCTTTAAGGTCATATTTGAAAGGCTCAGGCTTTTCAAGAAGTTCAGCAAAATTCTAAACTTGTTTTACCTGGGGCATCATTTTTCAGGAGTTTATTTGAAAACAACGTTTCCACTACACCAGTTTACAGATGTATCTAATCTGCATAGATTAGGACAGACAGATGTCCACATCCATTTCAGTAAGTATGAGGTCCATCTTCTAGAAAATCTAACTGCAGATGAAATACAAACGTCCAGGTGATTGGAACACAATTTTAAGTCCTCACTTAATTCACTTAATAGTCTTTCCGCTGCTTCAGGCGAGACAGATTAAGGACAATGAAAAAGCAGAACCAGTCAGGAACTGTCCAGCACGCCCCGGACAGGCCCGAGCCACACGC